TACAGATCATAAAACAGCATGCTGCTTAATATTTGCAACTTTTTTTAACTAAATATTTTCAGTCTTTAAATGCATTTGTTAAGAAGTTAATTCCTATTCTGGGCCTGATGACTCATTCCAGAAATCCCAAGATTTTGAGTTGGTAGACCAGGCTGGGCTGCATAATGAAATATAGTCTCAGAAACCATTCAATTCATCCAAAAGACACTGTATCTAAAACCCACAACTAGGAAATCGATATGAACTAGCGTTGTGCTTTTTAGAGTTTACATAGATTACTAATCTTGACGGTACTGTTACTGCACTCCGTTGTTTTACTTGCCCTGAATACTTCTATTTTAATTTTGAGAATTAAAAAAAAAAAAAGCAGTGGACTTCAAATGTACAGTTTAGTAACGAGCCAGTAGATTGTCAGTATGATTGATGCCTTAAGTTAAGTCATTAATTAAAAATATTTTTTAATTAATCTGTGTACTTCCTTCAGAATTTTGGTGGATGCTTAGGACTTCAAAAGACAGGAGATAGAATTTACCACACATCAGGAGTTTTTTGTTTGTTTGTTTTTTGAGACGGGGTTTCTCTGTGTAGTTTTGGTGCCTCTCCTGGATCTTGCTCTGTACACCAGGCTGGCCTTGAACTCACGGAGATCCACCTGGCTCTGCCTCCTGAGCTCTGGGATTAAAGGTGTGAGCCATGACCACCCAGCAATATTGACAGTTTTAAAGTTTTCTTTGTGTTGGATGGATGCTGCTGACATCTGATTGGTAGAGCTAAGGGTGTCGCTCAACATCCTGTTTTGTAGGACAGCCCCAACAAGGAGTTAGTAAGACCCATATGCCAGTAGTGCTCAGTTTGAGAAACACTAATAAGGAAGAGAGGGCTAGGTGACATTCTGTGAGTCACATTACACTAGAGAAAGCAAATTTATGGTCAGATTTGGCTACATTCCTTTGATTCAGCACTTGGGAGCCAGAAACAGGCAGATCTCTTGTGAGTTCGCAGCCAATCCGGTCTACATAGTGACTACCAGAACAGCCTGGGCTATTTAGAGACCCTGTCTTGGGCAAGGGTGGGGTGGGGTGTGTGTGTCAGAATTTGTCTGAGGTAATTAACTAGAAGGATGCCTTACTTTCATAAAAAGATAGGTTTGTATTTTATTTCATTTTCTTTTGCTTTGATTTTGATAGAATAATGGTCAAATATTCAGGAACAAGACATTCGAAGACAAAGCCAGATTTAAACAGTACCTATCCACAAACCCAGCCCTACAGAAAGCACTAGAAGGAAAATTCCA